GGGGGGGTCTCTAGGCACATGCACGACGGCAAGGAGACTCATGATGCCTTCGGGCAGAGCGAGGGGCCTCTAGGCACGGACCTTAGAGTGGGGCGGGCGACACGGCCTCGAGGTACGGTGCCTCGGGGCGAGCACAACACGAGCTCGAGTACTATGGAATCCAGGAAATTCTCTTAACAGTAATATCCACTTTAATTTTCCCTTTTCCTTTCCTTAATTTCCCTTCAAATGGTACAAATTCGTACGTTGATAAGGGATTTTGAAAATTTCTCAGAGTCCCACAACCCTCCCTTTCACTGATCATTGACAGTTTTGGACGCTAGAAAAAAGAGCACCCCGTAAAGTTTTTGGGAGCTCTTCCTGAAACTTCATTATTTTGTGGCTACTTCGAGGTGGATGCCCTCCTGGTTAGCTGCTCGGTAAAAGGTAATCTTCTCTCTCCTTCCATTCTTCTCTCAAGCATTGACTAATTTCTAGCTATGTTTCTTTTAGTTTATATCAGCATGTGTGTTGTATTTCCTCATGTAAATATTTAGTTAGTAGTTTAATTACATTTCCTCTGTTTCTTAAATGTGATGTATTACATCTCTTTCCTTCCTGTTAGTTTCTTAGTCGATATTAACGTCTGCTGTCTCACATGTATTATGACTGAAAGTTTGAGTTTATTCTTAGTTTTTGTCGGGATGTATAAGCTTCATGTTTATATGTTCATATGAACCTGTGATAAGTACTTAAGCTTCCATTGGTTGAGTCTGTTTGCTTAAGAATCAGGTCGACAAGACTTCTCCTTCAACACATGCGTTAATAAGAGTCTAAGTTTTTCTCTTGAAGCATTTGGCTTTTTGTTTGAACCAAATGATTGGGGATATATAGCTAATGTATCTTCTTGTTCACTAAGTTAAGGGCAAGATTCATTTTTCTTTCTTAAGTCGTTATTGATATGTCCATTTCTTTGTGCTAACAATTTCGAGCTAGCTGTGTATTTGAAATATGGGTGTCCTGTTTGAGTAGTATGTTTGCTTCGGGTTGGTTCTCTTATTACTCAAAGAAAGTAAAATAAAATTGAGATGTCTGTCTATTAGCTGCTGGAATGTGCTATCACTCCTCTTCATCTCGTTTGTTCTTTTTCTTAGTTTATGTGTGATCGATCGTAGCTGAAAGCTTGGGCATTTATCTCGGTTTTCCCTTCCTATTTGAATTCTTTTTCTTGTCTTAATGTACAAGTTTAGTTTCAAATTATCATTTTATCATAGAACCTCTGATTGTATGTGTCCTAGTTGGAGATTTTTGAGTTCGGCCTTAAGTATGGTGTTCAGTTTAGTATATCATTTCTCATTATCTAATGTTTGTTGGCAATTCAGTAGCTTTCTGATTCTATCTTGTTGTTTTGGGTGAGCTTTATTTCATTAAAATTGTGTTATCACACTGCTTTACCTACTCTTCTTTGGAAATTATTTTCATTAATCTTCTTTAATTAGTTTTTTTCCTGCTATGCATGTAATATCTCTATTTGTGTGTCATAAAATGTTTCCTTTGAGTTCTGCATTAGTCATTTCTTTTAGCTTAAATGGAGATTGCTCAGGTTCCTATCAAGAGTTTTTAACTAATATCTACACATTCTGGATGTTTGCCTTGTTGATAGCAAAATGTATTGTTATTTAGCTATGATTAGTGTGTAAGATATTTGCTTATTCCTTTTCTCTAGCATACTCCTCAAGTTCATCCGTCAACCTCCATCAAGTTCGAAAAGGGAAGCTAATAGCCCCAAAAGGCTGGAAATTAAAAAGAAGATTTTTTTTGGACTCTAAAAGTCCGATAATAACTCAGCAGCAGCAGCGACTGATTGCTTTGGGACCAAAAGTCCAGGTGTCTTCAAATGCTATATGATATGATATGATGATTCAAAAGATAAAAGGGGTAACGTTTCCTATCTAGTAAAATTTACTCAAATTATTTCATTCAGTGTAATGATTTGACAAGTCGTGTATAATTCATTATTCTTTTATCAATACTGCTTTGAATTGTTTTACTCTTAAGTTGAGATTCTATCGAAAACGTCCTCTCTAGGTACACTTTACTCTCCCTAGACCCCACTTTACAGGGTATGTTGTTGTTGTTCAAGGAGTTCATGAAATCCCACCAAAAGTCATCTTCTCTTTCTATTTTCTTATCAAAAAATGCACACAATTTATGTGTTTGAAGTTTGAAGAGAGGAAAGGGAGGATGTTTCAACACTTCTGCAAAACTCACTTTCCAAAGACAGCTTTTATAAACAAAATAAATGACAGAACTGGCTATAAACAAATATCAACTCTCAGTGTGAACAAGCAACAATATAAAAAGTATGTCGCGGGATGATCAACACATTTCATTCTTGCATCTCATCATATTTGTCTCTTAAACCTTGAAAATTCAATTCATCACCGTAGCCACTTGAATCGAAGTTAGACTCATCGACGTTCAAACGACCTTCAAGCATGTTCACTACTGCAGACCTTAGTACTGGAGAGTACATCGTAAGGCCACTTTAATCATCTGATATGACGAAGATCCTAAATCCATACAATATTGGAATACCATTATCATCACTGTTAATACCGTCTGGCAAAGTGAATCCAGCACACTTGAATTGAAGTTAGAGACTCATCAACGTTCAAACGACCTTCAAGCATGTTCACTACTGCAGACCTTAGTACTGGAGAGTACATCGTAAGGCCACTTTAATCATCTGATATGACGAAGATCCTAAATCCATACAATATTGGAATACCATTATCATCACTGTTAATACCGTCTGGCAAAGTGAATCCAGCAGCAAACACCATTGTGGGTTTTGATGATATATCCGCTATCTGATTTTGAGATACAGTTTTGATGATATATCAAAGTCTAAAATGAGATGTAAAATGGGATGAGAGAAGAAGAGAATGTAAAACTACAATTGTAGAAATAATGTAAAAGGAACATCATTTAAATATATCATTGTTGTGTTGCCAATGACTACAAATAGTTCTACAAAACTCAGAATTACAACTAAGTGAATCAGACTGATATAAATGAGAACTAAAAAAATTGAAGGGAAAATATACAGTAAGAACTCAGCTACAAAAGGCAGGACCTCTTAATTTATCCCCCGAGGGAATCTACAACAACTAATACAAGGTCCAGAAAGCCTTCAACCAACTGGAGATTCATGTTTTGTACAACAAGAATTTATATATATAGACAGGACATCATTACCACATGCAGTATTTCTTCATGGATGAAGCAGCACCAGAATATTGAATGTACATCTTCATAACTGGCTTTCTTTTGAATCTCTTTAAAAGCTGTGAGGTATATCTAATGGCATGAAAGTAAAAATGTTTTACAAGGTCATTTGCTTTAATGGTGTTTCACAATGTGTCAGAGCAACGTAGGCAATTGTAATTAATGAGCCGGTGTGCAAGGCTACCAGCCTCTGGAACCATAGCTGAAGTTAAGCCATTCCAAAAGTGAAACGTGACAGCTTCTTTGAGGATAGTTTTAAAGAGCATATCTTGTTCAGCTTTCTCAGTTTCCATTGCTGGTGCGGAGAAGTATCTGTCAAAAGAAAGAGTTGTAAGTTCTATAATCCCCCTTCTCTATAATTATCCTCAACGAGAAAAATAAGCAGATTATGTAATTTTAACCAGAAGATGATGATGACTGATTACAGAAACCATGACATGTTCAGATTCTGCCAAAGCTCCCTGAATGAGATATTTAGACGGACCAAGGATTTTTTTCCTTTAGCCCACAGTTAGTTTGGGTTCAAGAATACAATTAAGGCTTAAATTACATGAATTACTATTTCACTTCTTCAAACTTCGACTCTAATTAAGGAAAAACATGGAAATTCAAATCAATGTTGCAATTACATGTTAAGTTGTTAAGATTTTGCACATAAATGAAACAAAAAGTATTGCTTAGGCTGTAAGTGTGTAAGAGTTCACATTATTCTTTTAGTGATACATAGGTAGGCATTACATTAAAACAAAAGCAGCACTAGGCTTCTGTTGTGGGTTATAACAAGATCTCTAAGGAGGTGTCTATTTTTATATCTAGGAACCTTAGAAAAGCTCAGGTTCAATCTTGTCCACTAGTCTATTGAGGAATTCTACGAAACTAGCTACATCTTGTACATTCTGTATTTTGAACCAAAAGTCTAAGGCTCTAAGCAGGTACTTCAGCATGTGTATGCTCTCTTTTGTCTTCAAAACATCTGAGATTTCTTTCTTTCCAAATGACCAATCATATGCCAGCTGGAATGGTTTTCCAGATTTTCTTCCAATCCTTTCTAACTCCTCAAGTTTACATTATTCAAACTATAATCCATCATTCTTTAATTTTTTTGAGATGGTAACAAGCATTATTATGAATCTTTTTTCTCCTCTCCTTTCAGTACAAGACTCAAACTTTTATGAGGTCACCCCACTAGGCATTAGTTAAAGCAATATATTTAGCCAAATCAACAGTAAAAAGAGGACATTTTTCATATTATCTTCTTTAAAGTATCAATTCAAACTACTCTTTTAATTACCAAGAAATCCTTGAGAGCCAGTAGCGCATTGTTCGAAACTTCAGTGGATGATGGGCCCATCCCTCTACCCCTTATCCACTTAAATACCAGGTGTAGACCATGTAAAAAAGATGCCCTCTAATGAAGCCCAAAATATAGAAGGCTGCCTTTTAAGAGTTCAAAGATTCCAAGTAAGATTGGATGGGAAATTAGCTGACCATTCTGTTTTTTGTCTTGAAAAGAAATTTTATTGACAGCTAGTCACATGGGGTGTGTTTAAAATATTTACAAGAACAGCATCAATATAAGTTGTGTAATGAGCTCAAAAAATCTATCTATGGCTCTGAAATCCGTTGCATCAGCCATGTTACACCAAAAAAGCAATGAAGAGATACATCCGTACATAACACTTATTGCATATTCTTTTTTGCTTCCAAAAAAATCGTGTTTCTCTCCAGATTCATCAGATTGTTAGGGGTACGGGTTTCCAAATTTTTACCTTATCTTTTCCAACATATTTTCTACTAGAAGGAGATCTCTTGTTGATTTAAGCATTGTCAAGTTGAATTATTAGCTGACCATTCTAATACCAGCTATTCAAGTTGGAAAAACTGAGAATCAGTTTTCATTGAAACTCAAGGTTAGTTTCCCAACTGGGCTTTACAGTTCGGAGAATACAAGGCCTTGAATAGATAGAATTTATTATTTTTGATGAAGTAAGATGTTGCAGAAACTCCAATTTAGTCAGGGGGCTAACCACAAGCAAATGTATGGTCTCTAAGCCATACTGTGGGAGCTAATGAAATCTAAGAGGGGTAATATGTCATCTACAAGGGATAAATTGCTGAGCTCTAAGAGGGGTAATTCTATTTACAGGGTATAGATAGAATTACACTCCTAAATTTCATTTTTTTAAGGTTCTGCTAAAACCAGGAAGCTCTAACTAGACTGAGTTTTCAATGTTTTGAACAAGTGACTTGTTCTGGGACAAAATTTGCAATATTTAAGTTCTGTTAACCATACAACTATAGTTTTAAAATAGAGATTAAGATTCTTAAGCCACATTCTGAACTAATAGCTATGTATGCTATAACCAATTAACCATCAAAGCCGATACCTTTTTGTTTTGGGATGTGGCAATAAAGTTTTTTTTTTATGACCACAATGAAGATTATTGGTGATCAATACTTTCCAATCTTAAACACAAAATTGGTCAAATTAGCCATGAGTCACATTTGTTTGGAGCAAAAGTTAAGGATACGGGTTCTCCAGTTGTCCTACATCATACTCATTTCTTTTCAACACCCAAAAGTTGGTTCGGCACTAATCTGAACAAAGGGCCAAGTAGATTCTATAATATAGGTTTCCTTTTCTGGGGTTAAGAAATGTAATTGGAAACTGGGCTAAAGCTACATAATGCTGCAGTGCCATATTTAACTTTTTTGCATTCACCTCAAAAGCATCTAAACTGAACGTCAACTCTAAGCAATTTATCAACATACTAATAACATGATAAATACAGCAATAATAATGGATAATAACACCATGATGACTGGAAGTAACGAGCTAATAATCACAATAACTCCAGTTTATCAAGGCAAGAAAATGGGGGGAAAGGAAATAATGTTAGTATGAACAATAATTAACAACTACAATAATATACCTAGTGTAATCTAACAAGTGGGGTTTGAGGAGGGTGGTGTGTACGCAAACCTTACCCCTACCTTGGTAGGTAGAGAGATTGTTTCCGAAAGACTCTCAGCTCAAGTAAAGCATTTCAAGGAGGTTTGAAAAGGGGATACAAGAGTGAAGAAGCCATGATGAAAATACTGGAGAAAAGAATAGTCTCAACAACACATAATACGATAACCGAAGCAAAGGAAACAACAGGCACTGATAAAATTGAAGAATAATAAGAGAGTAATACTAAATTACTAATAATACTGATTAGGAAAACTAGACAACACTCGACTACCTACCTAGCGTTCTACCTTAATCTTAGACCTTTTATCTAGGGACATGTCCACAGTAAGCTGCAAGTGTGTCAGATTTTATCTAATCACATCTCATTAATACTTTTTCGGTCTACCGCTACCTCTCCTCAAACCACAATTGTCAACCTCTCACACCTCCTCAACATGACATTTGTGCATCTCCTCTTCACATGCTCGAACCATCTCTATCTCACTTCCCTCATCTGGTCCACCACGGAGGCCACTCCCACCTTGTCCCAAATTTCTTCATTCTTAATCCTATCTCTCCTAGTATCTACAGTTCTACACATCCATCTCAACATTTCTGCTACTTCCATCTCCTAGACGTGCAAGTTCTTAACCCACCAACACTCTTCCCCATACAACGGTATGAACAATAATCAAAAGTTCAAAATAACAATGATAAATCTTTCACTAAAAAATTTAAGCACTCGCAATTTTAAGTACCACCTTTTATACTTTTGACCTCAAGATTAAAAAGGTTGCTAAGTTTGGTACCTGGTAATATTGTTATAACCGATAGGGAAGAAAACAAAAGAGGGTTGAAAATTGATCTCCGTCTTTCTACCGGAAAGATTATCATTGACAGAAAAGTTACTAGCAACTCTTGTCAAAAGATCAGCTCCATTCCATCTCAATTGTGTGTCGTCATAAGATGCATAAAACTCCTTCAAACACTCCATTACAAAAGGACTGCAAAAGACATACAAGAAAGTGAATCTTTGTCATAGGGCAGACAGAAGAAAATGATACTTTACATTTATATACTTTTGCTAGGAATACTTGTGTTCCTATCCTTTTCCCGCAATAAACTTTAGCAAACATTTCTGACAGATTAACAGGTGCAATTAGAGATTATTGTTCAAAATTTGCATCCTTCGATAGCATTTTCAGGCTGATAAGGACAACCCAAACATATTTTTGAAAACAGTGGTATCTTGCTCAGCTTGTGTGCACCTCGACCAATCTTTGCATCAATCTTTATTTTTCGAATGTGTAATTTTGTCCACATAAAGCAGCCCTTCCCTAGTTCCCTCAATTTTCCTTATCCCTGTTTTTTCCTCAAAATAGTAGGCATGGACATACTAAAATGCCAGAGAAGGGGTGGTTATTGCAAGGTGCAAGCACACCAAAACTAGAACAGAGCACTTCAGAACTATTCAAGAGGCAAAGATTGTGTTGCAAGTACCTGTGCTTTCTAAAAGCCATTACAGCACCATTCAAAGTTTTTCCACGTCGGTCATCCTCAAAAGCAACAGTATTATTAAGTGAAGACAATGAATTCAACACTATGATGTCTGAGTCAAGATAGATTCCACCATACCTGCAATAAAAGGCAAAAGAGAACATGAAAGTTCATTTATAACAATGCAACAACTATAAACTTCACCAAAAGAAATTAAGTTGTTATATTACTGAAGTTAGAACAATACTGCAGTAAATGGAAAGGACAAAAAGTTCATTACAAACATGAGATCGCAGCTTTCATGTGGCCCCTTTAATCAATCTTTTTTATAAGGTAACTAAATTTTTTAATGTGAATCAGGAAAAAGATTGAGATGTAACACGTTTCAGAATAAACAGGTGGCAAATTGCTAGATTTTCAGCCATCTGTAATATATTCAAACACGATCATGATCCTAGTTTCATAAGGTTCTTGGCTTTTGCAAAGAGATGTTGGTGCAGCCTCACCACAATCTACTTTCTCTAAGGATAACTCAAGTAATTCAGCTATTGGCATATATTGCTAAAACAAAACCCTCACTAGAAGCAGCAAATTTCTGGAATTATGTGATCTTAAAAAGAAGCTTTCCATGTGCCACAGACACAACAATGAGTTATCCACTAACATAACAGCAAAATCTTTTGTACACTCAGAAGAAACTTAGATCCTTCTTCAGTAGTCCTCTCACCATCATTTTTTATGAAGTGTTTCTAACCATCATCAATTCCATTTCTTAACTTCATGAACAACCTGTCTTGTGGCAAACTAGACCAAGTTTAAGAATATCAGCTATGGGAAACAAAAAAGCGAAAGAAAAATATTACAATCACATTGAAATAAACTTCAGCAAATTGAATTCTCAAAAAAAAAAAACTCAGCAAATTGAAGTAAATCTATTGCAACTCTTCCTTTTTGACTAATTCCCAATTACATTCATGAATTATCCATCCATGAGCTGATTGCATTAGAGAAGGTTACTGTTTCTGCCATCAACTGATTAATCTTGAAAAGATTATTGGAATCATTTTTCTATAATAAAAAATAATTACCTATTGAAATAAATAGTCGAGATCTTAAGTGCGGGCTCCTTATCCAATTTGCCTTACCTCAAGTCAAATGTTATATATAGGAAACACTAAATTTTTTGAACTCTGTTATGCCAAACTAGGTGGAAGGTAATACATTTAAAATTGAAACTACAATGCATCATCATAGAGATAACACCTCGATTAGCTTCACAGTACATAACAATTTAAATACATCGGGAAGTGTATATTTTCCAAATTGCTTACTTGTATAGAGCTGCCAGCCTGACTAGTTCACTGTAATGGAAAGGATAATGTCTTGTCTGCTTCCATTCATACCAGAAAGAAGCAAATACATGTGTTGGTGTGCCTAGTAGGAGCTCATCAAGATTGGGCATCACAACAGCCACTTTGAAGCTGCGGAAAATAATCTATCATCAAATCCATCTCCAATAAAGTGCAAATGGAAGAATAAAACACCATAGACATGCATTTATGCATATATACACAAAGAGAACTTGAGATTATCTTCTTTTACAAAAAAAACAGTTGTTTTAAGTAAGAACTTAAGACTTCTTGGAAGCACTTTGAGTATGATTTTCATGAGGCAAATATGGATAACTTCAGATGAAATATTAGTCAAACAAACAACAAGCAGCGGCAGATCCAGGTATTTTTAGCAAATGAACTCATTGTATTTTTAAAGTTAACGGTTCATATCTACTGTTTGTTGCAATATTCGTGGATTTTTACACATAAATTTATGCTCAGCACCGGGTACCTGTACTCTACATCTGCCTCTGCCAACAAGATAACAAATCTAAACTGATGGAAGAAAGAAATTCAGTAATTTACCCATCCTTCACAAAACCACTAAAGAAATTAAGTTCGATTGTCTCAGAGAAAACCACCACACAAGCATCCCGGTGATGGTTAAGTACACTCTCAAGTCCCCTCTGATACCGAGCGGTAAACATCCATGCTGGAGAATTCCAGACCATGAAAACTCTCATAGTACATTTTGCTTTCCTGAAAAATGAGTCCATAAAGTTAGTGAAAGACAACCGGGGTTGCAAGCCCGGAAAGTAACCCCATCTCTTCCCATCAGCAAAGAGTAGCCCAGAAACTTCACCTCGGGCATCATCTTCCACAACTTTCATATTACCATTCCTTATCTCTTCCTTACTCCTAGGAGCTGAATCTCCATCACTATCATGATCAACTCTTTTTCCAATTCTAGCATCATCGTTTAAAGTTCTACGCTTCACTCTCTTCCCTCTATTCACATCCTCATCATTAGTTTTCACTAATTGACTATTGAATTTCAACTCCTTTGACTCGAAAACATCATTTTTTGCCAGCCCCGCCATCTTCTGTAACTCCAAAGCATCATTAACCAACTCAGATTTTGTCAATTCAGACACTGAAAGTGGTTTTTTCACCAGAAATGGAACTTTCTTAAACTCATTCATCAACCCTTTTAACACAATCTTATCCCCTTTAGTCAATCCAGTAGTCCCGGCTCCATCAGGATCCTGCAACATGGGATTATTATTTGGATTTAACGCCTCCAGATTTGACTTAAACATTCTATCACGCCTCAAAAAATCACTCTTCTTTTCAAACCACTCACCCCACCCTTCCCTCAAAGGTGATCCTTTTAGTAATAAAGCATCTTCAACACTCTCAATTTCACTCAACTTCATCCTCATTTGCACATCTACTGGAAGATCATCCGATCCAAACGCGGCCTTAGATTCATCACTCTTAAATCCTAATCCTAACTTCATCCTCGATTCAAAATTAACGTAATCTTCCCATTCCTCAATTGATCGTTTGTTAAACGCTCTCCGTACAACTCCGTGCCTCTGATCGTAGAAATATGTCGAGGAAACCCTAGGATACTGATTGATGATTTCTTCATCGTCCTCTTCGGATTCATTGGATAAGAGGAACTCATCATCGTTATTGTTGTTGCTGTCAGCAACGTCGAGCTCGTCGATGCGGTCATCGGAGGAGCGATAATCAGCGTCAGCTAAATCGTCGACGAGAGGGTTGTTCAGTGAAATGGTGTCGTATTGGAGGGGATGCGGATGGGGATTGTTAGGTTGGAGGAAGAAGTTGAGGCGACTGTAGAGGAGTGAAACGGAGAGGAGGAGAAGAACCGCGGCCGCTAAGGCGCAAATGTGCGCGCCGTAAAGCGGACGCCGCCGCGTTCGGAGGTTCCGAAGCATGTGGTACGGCGGGGGGTTGCGGTGGCGACTGCAG